TAGTGTTTTAGATGTGCAATGTTTGATGTCCACCAAACAAAGTGTCAAGTCTAATTGCCAAAAAGCATCCCATCAGACCAAAGAACCTTCTTTCACTTGACTTCAGAGTCTCCCACATACGCCCGCCGATAGGGGAGGACAAACGGGTCTGTTGTCCCGGGCCCAGAGGGGGGGGGCAAAACTGGACCCTCATTGAATTATGGATTTTTTTCCCCAAAGAAGGGCTATTAATGGAAAGAAACAGTGCAATATTTAAGTTAGAAGTTTTAATTTGTTTTCGTCTGAACTGTCCTTAATATCTTTGGAATTGCCCTCTACCCCGACCTCCAACATAAAATGGTTTGGCCTCTGATCAACGTTTGATGTCCTTTTATTGGAAGTTCGGATTTTGCACTTCAGCACCAAAATGTCCGCTCAGCAGAAGTCTGGTGCTCAGAAAAGGAAAAAGAAGAGAAAAGGAGAGGAAGAAAATAGAGACCTTAGAGATTTGCTTAAAAAATCCTTTAAAAATGTGGTGACAACGAAGCTGGAAGTAGTAAAGTCAACGTAGAGCGAGGTAAGAAACAGCGGAGCCAACGTTTGTCAGCCTTGTAACGTTATTTGGCTAGCTCCTAATATCCATTAGCTATGATGAAAATCCTGACAAAACACGGGTTTTTTTGACAGAAACAGACGAGTTTAGTGGCTCCGTCAGAGAGGATGAGACAGAGAGGCCGAGGCGAGAGATCCACCTGCCGTCAGGTAACAAAGATGAGGAGGAAGGGGCCCGCTGGTCCGCAACAGAGGGACAGAGTCAGACCATGGATGAGACTGAGGCTGTGTCCGAAATCACTCCCTATGCCCTACATAGTGCATAGGGTGCACGTCATTTTGTAGGGGTGTCCGAATGTTAAGTTACAAATGTTACACCCTATATAGTGCACTCAAAATATCCCACAATGCACCTTGAAAAGTAGTGTACAGCCGATGGTCACTGACCGAGCAATATGGACCGTCATGCACTGCGCGAAAGAAAATGGAAATGGAGATGAACGAGAGTGCGGAAAAATTCCTGTTTGTTTTGTTAAATTTTATTTTACCCGGACAGTGAACGTCGCTAAAATTGCGGCGCTCGGTTGTGATTTGGACATACAACACCACTTTATTTAAATTGCTTTTAGTTACTGGATCCTGAAGAAACGTTCTCTCTTCTGGTATGTACAGCAAAATGACAATAAACTTGATTTAATTTGATTTCTTAGCTACGCAATAAACTGTTAATTTGATGTGTTTGTACTACACTGTTGCAGCACAAATCGCGGCTGGCGAGTGACGTAATTAATAGCTCAAGTAGTGTCCGAAATGATACTTTGCCGAGGTGCTCCCTATATAGTGCACTACATAGTGTCAGATCACGGATGAGAGAGAGAGCGAGCGTCAAAGTGCAGCGGGAGGGGCTTGCTGCCCAGTCGGACAGTCTAAGCAGGATGGATCAAAGAGATGTAAAGAAAGCAGAATAGAGGAGAATAAGAGGAGGCAAGGTGAGGAGCAGGTGGGGAGAGGAAGAGCAAAGAAAAGGGGAGATGTGGGTGAGTGGGGCGGGGGGGAGATCTAATATCATCTTGTCCCGGGCCCAGGGAAGGCTGTCATTTGGCCTGCTCCCACATCGCTTCCGGTGAACTGTAGTTGAGGTTTAATATGAGCTTTTTTCAACAGTAGCTTTCTATTTGCCACTCTCCCACAAAGCTTAATCCTGTGAAGAACAGGCTACAGTTGTTCAACGCACAGTTGCTCTTATCTCCTAAGCTTGTAACTTTTTCAGAGGAGCCATGGTGGAGTCTTGGTGGCATCCCTCACTATTTTCTTACTCTTCATGGTGTAGTAATGGCCAGGAGTACTGATTTACCAGTCATGGACCAGGTGTCTTTATACTGCAATCACTGGAGACAATTTCACTGCAATCTGATGATCTCCATTTCACTGCATGACTTCTAACACCAATTAACTGTGTCGATATTAGATTATGTGAATCACTTTCAAATTGGTAAATATTGATGCAAGCAGTCATTTTACTTTAAAAAAAAAAATAAAAAATTACATTTGTCCGACTGGGTGAACAACAACCAGGTGCAGCCGCTGATAAATTACAGTGTTTTAGTAAGGTGTTAACGTGCCACCAGACCACCTTCAGTGGGCTTTGGCATTGATTCTCTAGGTCTCTAAACTCTCCTGAACGGAAAAATACAATTCCTCTTAAACATAGGTGCCAAACTCAGGCCCACAGGTGTTTGACTGAGNTAGTGTTTTAGATGTGCAATGTTTGATGTCCACCAAACAAAGTGTCAAGTCTAATTGCCAAAAAGCATCCCATCAGACCAAAGAACCTTCTTTCAGTTGACTTCAGAGTCTCCCACATACGCCCGCCGATAGGGGAGGACAAACGATGATTGATTCTCTAGGTCTCTAAACTCTCCTGAACGGAAAAATGCAATTCCTCTTAAACATAGGTGCCAAACTCAGGCCCACAGGTGTTTGACTGAGTTGAGATCTGCAGACTGTGAAGGCCATAGCATATGATTGGTATTATTTTCATGAAACCATTCAGTGACTCTTCATATAGATAAGGGCTTTGTCACCCTACAATGAATCATTTTCATCAGGAAAGACAAGTACTCTGAAAAGAAATAATGAAAATGTGGTGATCCGAGTTTTTGTGCTTTTGTGAGACTTTGTTTAGTGTATGTGCTTGTTGTTCCTGGTGGCTGCAAGTGTGTTTCAGGCTGGGTGGGGTTCTCGGACGGGAGAGGTCTCACTCACTCTGTTCCACACCTGAGGCACATCAAGCAATCAGCGCTGGATAAAAACCTGCCTCCACCTGTGCTCCAGCGCCAGTGGATTATCCTCCTTTTGAGCGGTAACAGGCCAGCAGTCTACTTAGAAACTTTGTGCTTTGTATAACTCACTTTGTCTCATGTCTGCTGTCGTCTGTGTTTGTTGCCAGAACCTCCCTGACAGATCATGGCCTCCCCAGTCCAGCTTCAGCAGCCGAACCCCAGCCTCAGCCATCCTGTCTCCCGGTCCCTCTTGGAAACCTCCCCTTGAATTCCCTCCCTCACTGGGGTCTCCTCACGAGTTTCCCGGTGTCCCCTGCTTCCTCACAGCCTTTGAATAAATCCCTAATTTCTTCACTCCTAACCCCGTGTTGCATTTTTGGATCCCTACCAGACTGAATCATAACAGAAAAGGCCATTACCCAGAATAACTTTGCAGTGATTTGGGGCGCCGCTATAGCTCACCTGGTTGAGCTGGCGTCCCATGTACAGGGCTACAGTCCCGATGTGGAGGTAATGAGTTCAAATTCCACTCATGGCCCTTTCCCACACGTCCTCCCCCCATTCTTCTCCCCCACTTTCCTGTCTCTCTCTCACTGCACTATCAAATAAAGGCACAAAGGCCAAAAAATAACTTTTAAAAAAAAACAAAAAACTTTGCAGTGATTTGCAGTTACCCTTTCTTCTGAGAGGACAAGTGGACCCAAATGCAAAATGTTCCCAGCAGCATAAAAGACTCACCAGATCTGGTCACCTATCTGAATCTATACATGCTTATTAACTGAGGTTGTCAAACCCACCAAAAAAGTAGGGCTGGACCTGAATAGCCGACTATTTGTTCGCTGTGCTAGAATCAGGATATCAAATTTGATCTCCGAATATCCCTGCCGCGGCGGAAACAGAGCTGTCACCGCTAACCTAAACACAGAAACTGACCTTTGTAGCAAAATGCAGCCTGTGCGTTCATGCTCACTCCAGCTTGTTGGAACCCGAGCACCACCACCCCCCCGTCGGAGCCTGAGCGCACCATGCGCTGAATATTCGGGATATTTGTCATTAATTGGGACCGAATGTCCGGAGATCAGAAATTGCTATTTGGACCAGCCCTACAAAAAAGTTCTGGTTAAAACAGAATTCAGAATTCCTTTACTCCTTGTAATACACCATCAGAAATAAAGTGTTAGCAGATACAAAAACTCTTCAAATCCATGGCTGTGAACAAATACCTTAATTTCTTCTAGGTGTGCAGCAAAGATTTCAGTCGCCCATCCATCCCCTACTAGATCAATGATGAATGCTAAGATATGAACATCCATTCATCCATTATCTAACACCACTCTATCCATGCACATAATCTAATTAATTTTATATTTAGTATCTCTTGATACAGTGTCCCAATCAGATATCATTTTAAAGATAATCCACACTTCAAGTACATGAAAGTATATAAAATCAATTCAGCGTATAAGCATGATAATTTAATAGCTCTGCAATGCATTAAGAAAAAAAGCATTTCTGCATTTTTTGTAAAGCTCTGGTAAGGCACTGTCTGAAATGTTGTGTAGAGAGCGTAAGGTATACTGTGGCTACACAAGCTCTGAGAGACCCCTGGAAAACCTGTTTTCTCTATGCATGTCAGAAAATGCATTGTAGATTAACAGTAGTATGTGATTGTTCTTACTGCCTCTCACTGTTTAATACTGTAGTGACATGAAGAGGCGGTCACTCAGACTATGGGCACTTAAATCCTGGCAAGCAGAGAGCTATGGAATTATGTTTGTGCCACAATCCTGAGTGCATAAAGGGAAAGTTTGAGTGCAGAAAACAATCTCGAGCAAATAAAAACTTAATCTGAGCAAACGGAAATATATTCTGCGCTCAAAACTATTACTGCTGTGTTTGCAACTATCAACATACATGCATGGTTTTGTCATTTACTCTCTCATAGATTTCCATTCTGTGCACTCTACACAATCACACTCGCTTGTGGTGTCTTTCTCGTTCGCGTACAACACTGATGATCTGTTCAAGCTCAACTCTGCCTGCACGTTCATTCAACTTGGCACAGCGTTACAACTGTGCCACAAATCAGCCAATCACAGTCTGGCACAGGGTGGCTGACGCTATCCAATCAAGTGGCTATTTCAGCCACCTCTCGGAAGCGCTGTAAAAAGTGACAACAAAATAAAGAGGAGTGGTGCGATTATTGCCATGTAAGACTACGTTTTCGGTGAGTTTTTTTTTTTCTTTCTAAATTTGTTATATAACAAAGACTATTTCTTCATCCTTGTTTAAGTAGCTCAGGCTAGCCAAGCTGAACAATGTCATTATAACCTGAACAGCAACATGAAAATGGTGCACCACGGTACAGTAGTTGGTACTACTGAAATATTTTTATTTCAAATCAAATCAGATTTGGATTACTACACCAACACAGAGGCCGATCGGAGACCACGCTGGCAGTAATCCAAGAGAGAAGGAAAAGCAAATGGTATGACCACTAACAAAAGAGGAGGAAGAGAGCCAGGATCCATGCTAGACTAAAGGCTAACCCCTCCAGAAAAGCAGGCCCGTCGCTACTACTCTCCAATGTCCGCTCCCTCCACAGCGGGCTGGATGAGTTACGTTTGCTGGGAGAAACCCGTGGAGAGTGGAGGAACTGCTGTGTGTTTGCTTTTGCGGAGGCATGGCTCCATGGCAGCATCCCAGACGGACATTCAGGGTCGTCGCCAGGATTTTTTGAAGGCGGGTCAAAGCGGGGGTGTCTTATTGAATACTGCTAACGGTTAGCGGCAAATATGCTAGCAAATAGCAGCGGTAGCACCGAAGATGATGGTAGAGAAACTGCATCGGCGCATGTTGTTAAATATTTTCTGCTACATTCAGGCAGCAGCGTAACGGGCCGTTACTCTGTTATAATGCTGGCGAGAACCCTGGACATCGTTCCGGGAGGACAGACAGGCAGCTAGCGCTGAATTTTTCCAGAGCCGCTGCAGAAGCAGGGACTCCTCACACCCATGAACTGTTTGAACTGCTGCCATCAGGCAAGCGCTCCGTCAGGAAAGACAAGCGCTCTGAAAAGAAATAATGAAAAGGCCATTACCCAGAATAACTTTGCAGTGATTTGCAGTTACCCTTTCCTCTGAGAGGACAAGTCAGGCAAACGTTTCTGAAGCACTGAAGGAAGAACCTCCAGACTGATCAACAGCTTCATTCCACAAGCTGTCAGAATGCTAACTGCTGATCCGAATATACACACGATTCTTTATTTAATTGCTTTTAGTTATTGGATCCTGAAAAAAACTCTTTCATTTTGTTTGTACTACTGTTGTATTTACAGCAAAATGACAATAAACTTTGATTTGATTTGAAATAAAAATATTTCAGTAGTACCAACTACTGTACCGTGGTGCACCATTTTCAAGTTGCTGTTCAGGTTATAATGACATTGTTCAGCTTTGCTAGCCTGAGCTACTTAAACAAGGATGAAGAAATAGTCTTTGTTATATAATACAAAACAAAATTTATTTTAAAAAATACTCACCGAAAACGTATTATAACACGGCATTAATTGCACCACTCCTCTTTATTTTGTTGTCACTTTTTACAGCGCTTCCGAGAGGCGGCTGAAATAGCCACCTGATTGGATAG